CCGTCTCCTCTGGGCAGAGTGGAGTTCTGGGCCCGCCGGCACCTGCTAGCTCGTAAGCTGAGAGCAGCTGGCGGTATCTAATCTTGCCTCCGGCCACCTCCCCGCAGGGCAGCTTGGTCACGCTCCTGGGCGGTCCCTCGGGAGCGAAATGGGCAACGTGGGAAGTTTTTTAATATCGTCTCCTTGCTTTAAAAAACGTATTTTAGCGTGTGAATGTTTTGTGACCTTCAGGCTTTCCACAAACTATTGGGAGGTCGTTTGTAAGTGTAACGCTGTAAGGGCATTCAGGTCTGCCTGAATCCTGTAGTGATGGTGTTCTGCTTTTTGTTCTTTTTTATGAGTGGGGAAGCTTATGTTCATATGTTCTGTGTGCTGTTTGTTCTCCTCTGTATCTTGGCACTCTCAGTGTCAGTAACTAGTATTATGGTATTAATTAATATGTGGCTATTAAAACAGGGAATATTTTTTTTAGATACACCCAGAATGGAACTCCATAAATAAAAAAAATTGGGAAAGCCATAAAGACAATAAATGCCCAGCCCAAAGTATGGGCTTCTCCCAAATATGCTATGAAATTCTCTGTAAGTGTATGTTCATACACATACTATTAGGTATAACAAAAGCAGCGTGACAGGAATTGTATTGATGTCTCAGACTTCTTAAAAACAATCTGTAGGATTTAAACTTAATGGTGCCCTTAACTGGAGGTTTTTTTTTTGGTCTGATTTTCCATATAACTGTCTGTGTGGTCATCATTATTAACAATATGGTTTGAATCTTCCAAGATTATGCTTCCCTCCACCCTCACTGCCAAAGAAGAGGTAATTGTCTAACAGTTCCCAATGGTATCTTTATAACCTTCTGGACAGGTGATCCCTAAAGACTCTTTCTGGTTAAAGTTACTTTCTCCTCTTGCTAGGTCTCAAGCTATTCTGAGATAAACTATCTGGGTGACTGGGACTTACTGCCAGAAAACTTAATTCTGTGGAGACTGCACAGCTGTGTGTGACATTAAAATTGCAACTAGGGTGGCAATTTTGAGAACTGAATATGCCTAGAATTATGATAGATTTCTAGTGTTGACTTATTGCGCATCACTATATTAGGAACTTACCTGATGTTTTATGAAGACATGAATTCTGTCCAAGAGTCTCAAACATGATCTCCTAAACTCTAGAAGATAAACTCTTTTCTATATTGCCGTTATGCCAAAACACCCATTGTTTTTTGTCTTCTGATTTTTTGCTTTGCTATGTGATTGGAGAGGCATTGCACAACTTGAAAAATAGCATGTGCTGTTCTCTAAGGGTTTTACTACCCCATGAGTCCTCTTTCAGACAATGCTTTAATGTATTATTTGGGTGGCTGCTGTTTTAAAGGGGCATTTACAGTCATGAGGAGAACAACTTCAGTTAAAGTGATGATGAATGGATACTTCTACTGTATTATAGCTAGTGTAGGACAATAGACTATATCATACAGGTAGACATAGATAAGCTTATTAACTTTGTAGAGTCTCTCATGCATTTTGAGAAACCTAACTTTTCATTCAGTAAATACTGCTGGTTCTATTCCCTGGGTGGTCATTTTTATGTAACCACAGTAACTCTAGCCAGTTCACCTGAAAAATCAAATTTTAGCAAGGTGCTTTGTGTACCCTAATTCTTCTGCTAATGTTTCACTTTAACAATGCTAACCTTGGTCTCAAATCTAAGTTATAATAGTTTATCACTGAAGCAAATGAGTGCTTTTAATTTATTGGTGTTTTGTGATGAATTTTTTAAAATGAACATTAGAGTTAGTGCCTCCCTGTTGCTCAGAGTTGAATTACCCTCAAAGAATCATAGAATCATTAAGGTTGGAAAAGACCTCCAAGATCATCAAGTCCAACTGTCAACCCAACACCACCGTGCCCACTAAACCATGTCCCTAACCCTCTCCGCAGCTTTCTGTGCAAATGAATTATTTCTGCAGAAAGCAGCCTGCTCAGAACCATTTCTGTAATAGGTTTGTTGCCAGTCCTTTCTACCAGTTGTGCGACTCCTAATACTCTTTCAGAACTACTCTATCGGTGTGAGTGAGATTTTAATGAGTCTAAATGTTTTGTTTTCAGAAGTCTGAAGTTACTTCTGACTGCCTTAGTCATAAAATTCTCATTAATGAGCTTTTTGCAACTGTAACTTAGTTTAGCACATCTATCTTCTAGCTGTTGAAGAAAGAAACAAGGCATAATCATGGCTGACAACAGTACGCTGGTGTCTGAAACCGGGAGGAGCCTCTTGGCTGATTCTTCTGTTCTTGATTCAAAAATTATAGAAACCTCCAAAGAGAATGTATTTCCTGGATCTGTTTTGGATGTTGAAGGTAATGGGAGAAGCTTATTTTAAGACTACTATGTTTTTATAATGACTGATTACTTTGTAGGTATTTGGTAGTTTTTCAAAACCAAAAGTGCTTTGCTGAACTACAGAATTGTATGTAGGGTAGCCAAAAGGGTGTTGGTTTGGTATCCTTTCACCAGCAAAGGGACTGTCTTAATTTTTAACTCATCTTGTTACAAAAATTTGGGGTTGCAGCCATGAAATCAAATGTCTTCTGGCTAATGTATAGACAGTGTTTCATTCCATTTGATGCCTCTTCTGTGGAATAAATCATTCCAGGTAATATTTTGACACCAGTGTTTGGAAGCTACAGCTGCTCTGTTGTGTAGGATTACAGGTAGTCCTTAGAGAGATGAATAGTCTTGAGTGTAAAATGAATTCAAGAACAAATCTTGGAATTAAAAAAAAAACAACGAAAAAGGTGTTTTTGTTTTCCTGCAGTGTAGTAGCCAAAACCCAGTGGCAGTCTTCTGGTGCAAATGGCATGGAGGCTGCACTTGTCCCTTCTTCCTAATATTTTGAAAGCTTATTAATACATGGATTAAAAAGAACAAGATATCTAACTTCAGTTCCAATATTCCTTGGTGAAATTGAGCAGTTACTAGGAAGTAATGGACCTTGTCAGCCAGGAACACAGAAACTAGAAAAGAAACCAGCTGTCTATTTTCCAGCAAGTCTTGGTATCTAATTCTGCTAGAAGCATTAAGTCAATAATTTTGTTGTTTTTCTTTCTTTTTTAAATTTTTTTTCTCCCCCTCACCCTTGCTGACTCCCTTGCACGTTCTTGCTTTGACTGTAAGGTAACTGGTCTTGAATTGCAGGATCTTGTTTCACCATAAGTGAAAATTTAGGCTCTAAGGTCAATTGGGTATGCCTTAATTAAAGGACAGGCTTCTTGAGGTAACACTTATTTTCAGGCTTGTTCCTGATAAACAAGGTATCTTGAAAGGATGCAGTCTGCCTATATTCTTCTATACATTATTGATTGATTATTTTTTTTAGACCTAACATGGATTTTTCTATTAAAATATGAATATTATCCTTGTTTCTCTATAAACAGAAGAAATGCCTCAAATAGAAACAAGAGTGATTTTGGTTCAGGAAGCAGGGAAACATGAGGAGCTTCTGAAAGCCTTGGAGGTATGTGGGTCTAAGATAAAACAGTCATTGGAATGAGATGGTATGCTTTTATAGACTTCTAGTAACCAATTTGGTTCTGTACTAAAGTTCTCCTCTTCCACAGACCGTTAAGATAATGGAAGTACCAGTTATAAAGATAAAGGAAACTAGTCCTGGTAAATCAGAAGAAAAACTAATAAAAAGTATTATTCATATGGTATGTCATGCAATTAAGCACACGTGATTGCATGCAGCATGTTGTACTTCACTGGGACTGAAATGTGCACACGCTTTAATTGGGCATAATGGTCACAATATATGCTAATGTTTCCGATGGTGTCACTTAAAGCTCGTCAAAATTGGCACTTTTTTACAAACACTTTCTCAAATATGGAAGTAATATCTGCAGCTGTTAATTAGTGGTGTTTTCTAACGGGGATAGAAATATCAATGGAGACATTCAACTGCATGCTTATATTGAGTCAACACATAAGTTTTTGCTATGAACTGACTTCATAATTGGTTAATTGACTTCTCTTTCAATTGAAAGCTGCATTTAAAATTAAGTGTAAGAAGTGGTTCTCCATTTCTTGATGTGAAAAACCTAGAAAATAAAATTTGGAACTAATGATTGAAATTGGAACAGACCAAATTTATAAAGTCCTTAAAAATATCAAGCAATGAAGAAAATGGACTTCTGTTCTTTAGATCTTATGCAGCATGGAGCTTGCTATTGCAAGCTGGATGCTACTTTTTGGTCGCATCCAGAAGTACCTAAAGCTGTTCTGATAGTCTGAAATTTCATTTCTCTTTTGTGCTTAGTTTGGGTTTTTTTTCTATCTGTAGATATTTCCAATACTATATTATCAGTGTGAACTGATATGTAAGCTACTAAAGTAACTAGAATTCTTATTCTTCAGAAGCAGGAATTGCTTTAAGGCCTTTATTTTAGGTGCAGTTCATGGCTATTCTTATGCTAGGGAACGGTGCATCTCATTCAGCTTTCACAAATCCTAAGAGTCTGTCTCTGTTAAAATCTGAATCATACATTTTTCTAATGGTCCAAAATAAAAAATCAGTTGAATTTTGACACTACTGTAAGTATGTTGCCTGAATAATGCTTTCCCTTTCATCCCCATAAATCAAGGAAATTAAAGTGCCCTACATAAAGACAAACACAATAGAAGAGCTTGGAGATTCTGATTCCCCAGAATTTGAGACTATCTTCGTCATATCAGACTTCCAAGATTCTATCTTTAACAAGCTCTGCAAAGCAGATTGCCGTGTCATTGGACCTCCAGTAGTACTGCACTGTGCACAAAAAGGAGAGGTATGTGCTTTCTGTTGAAATCAGCTGAGTAGTTCTCTGGTGCAGTGAGTTCTAAATATTAAATGTTCAAAATAAAATCTATTTTGCTTTGCCAATCAATCATAAATATTCTTAGCAAGAGAATTTTAAGAAAAGCAAGTTTCTAATATCGTGTTAGAATATTGCGTGTAGTGAGAAAGCACAGGCAGGCAGTAGTAAGGCTACAACTACCGCAGTAGCTGTGGGAGCTGTTGACCTATTAGTTGGGATTGTGCCATTAGGAAAGGCAGCATACAAATCATGCTCTGGCAAACGCTTTATATTTCCAAAGGTTGACACGTAGAGAGGATGGACTGGGGAGGAAGAAAAGGATGGAGCGCTACCTGTGGAACTTGGGGATGCTCTAGTTACTTTATCAGAACGCTGGCAGGTCTAGAGCTGAGGTATAACTGAATACACAGACTTGGGCTAGTGTCTGATGCGTTTGAATGCTAGGAACAATAGTACTGTATTAAAGATAATGTTAAAACTTTAATGGAAGCAGTATGCTTTTGACTAATAAACTTACATCTTACTTTCAGCCTTTACCTTTCTCCTGTCGTCCACTGTACTGTGCAAGTATGTTGAACTTGGTACTGTGCTTTACAGGATTCAGAAAGAAAGATGAATTAGTAAGACTTTTTTCCTTTGGATTGGTAAAACTATGTTAAGTTTATTTTCAAAATACTCTTCTGTTCTATCACCCGTAGGGTTTAACCATGACTAGAGCTCGTATGGGGGGAATGAATTGTTTGTTCTTTTGTTTTGTTGCACGTCCAGAGGCTGTGATATTTGAGGATGGGACCAAAACTGTTTCCTTGCCCAAGTCACTTTCTTCATGCCATTTTCGGTCACTCTTTTGTTGAATGACATTAAACAGCTCTAATTCAGTAGGGCTTGAAGACTTGTAGATTTAGGCTTCAGATAAGATGATGTTTACCCAATAGTGTCCTCTTATTTTTACAGGTAGTAGTGTGGTCAAGTAAAGCTTTGTAGTCCTGTTCAGAGCACTTGCAGACATGCTATCTTGCTATCGTGCTATTGGGACTTAAGTCTTAACGTATCTAGGTATGAAGTGGTTTGATACTCTAGCACTTTGATTTTCCATTTCAGTGATGCAGTTGGCAGCTAATTTCCCTATTGGACACCTGGGAATCAACAATATAGCTCCACATCTTCATCTGGGGGACCCCCCCCCCCGAAACAAAACAAAAGCCTTTCCCCAGTGTTAGGGATAGTTAGGTTTGATCTGCTAGATTCAAATTGGACAAATCGCAATCTTATGTAAATTCTGGCAATTGCCCCTTCAGGTAGAATTGACTAAATCAGTGAGGATAACATGCCTCAAAACTATTGTGCGTGAAAAGATGAAGGCATTATGTATGATGATCACAAGAGTACTGGTGGCTTGGGTAGTTTTCCTGAAGCTATGCAGCAAGGCTATATTAAATGTTTAAAAATAGAAGTTCTTCTGATGTATCAGCTATACCTTCTCCTGTAGATGTGAACAAGTTGTTTTAAGAACAAATCGGAGCATTTCTATTCCTAGACATTTAATGTAACCTCCTGTATCTTGCTTTGTAAACTATTTTTGTACCGGGCTCAATCTGCACTGTACGCTTCAAAAGAGATACTGAAAACTTATTTCATCTTTATTTTTCAGGTTAAGCTAGTGACCTTGGTTCATCATATGGGTGGAATTATTCGAAGGGACTTTAGCTCAAAAGTTACACATCTGGTGGCTAACTCAACACATGGAGATAAATTCAGAGTATGTAAGCTTGAGTTGGTACTTCATGGAAACTTTCAGAATTTGGCTCTTGTAGGCTAGGTCTGTAAATTATACTTCAGCTTGTAAGTTGCTAGGTTTTTTCCTGTGCTAACAACAATGACTTGTAATAGTGAGTTCATCTCCCTCTGGTGTTGAGTTTTGACATGTTTTTGTCTCTGTTAGAGATCTAAATAATATAAATTGCCTAAATGCAGAGATTTTGGAATAGACTAGTAAATATCAAGAACCAAAATGTTTCTTAAGTACTGATAACTTCAGTACTTAAGACACTGAAGACCTTGATGAACATCTGTTCATCAATGAACAAGTGTTTATATATCTACATGCCTGTTTTCTTTCTGTCCAAACAATAAACTTTGAGGTAACTTGCAAAAAACTTTAGTACTCAATTTGTGTGCATCTTCTTCTAAAAATTATTTTTAACTTGTTATGTATAAGCATTCAAATCTTCCTTTATGTATAAATATATGTGGGGTTTTTTTTCTGAGAACAACAAAAGGGAATCCTTCAGGACATGTATGTCCAGTTGACAAGTAAATACAAGTTTATAGGTTTTTGTACCATGGAATATGACAGCAATGCCTATGTCCCTCGATTCTCCCTCGTTTGAATTCTTAGTAGGCTCTTGCTTTTTTCCTAGTCTGTCTTTCTAATCTTCCAGTTGGAAGAGAAGACCTACTTCTAACTCTGGTCAAACACTCCTTTCTGGCAACTCAAAGGGAGAAAGTAGGAAAACTTTACAATCCCTCTTAAGCAGTCATGGAAGTTACCTTTGGAATAGTCACTTTCTCTTTGGTAAAAGCAGGCTGGGATATTTGTCTTCATACAAAGTATCAAAAGCAGAAAAAAGATCCCATATTCCATTGGAACAGAGATTTGGTTTTGTGTGTTTGATGAAGGATATCAGACTAACAAAACGGTGCACTTTTGAGTAAGTGTCAAAATAGCTATTGATCTGATCTCCTAGTCACTGAAGAATTAATACACTCTAACTCTGGGGAGTTACAGTTGGACATGATTCTTGAAGGAATATATTCACTTTTTGCAGTATCTGTCTTGAAAAGTAAAAGCAAGGTTATGAATTTTCTCGGCACGGGAAAGACTTAAATGGAAATACTTAGTACAACTTGTGCTTTTCCTGTTTTATAGATTGCTGTAAGTCTTGGTACTCCTATTGTGAAAGCTGAGTGGATTTATAAGGCTTGGGAGAAAAGGAATGAAATGTAGGTGTTTGTTTTCCTTCAACCTTAACCTTGCATCCTGTTCACCTGTAGTATTGTGAGCTTCTGTTTAAATAGTGATGTAGCACTGATTTAGTGACCTTTTTGTGTATGTTTTTTTCTTTTTTTTCCCAGTGATTTCTGTGCAGCTGATGATGACTTTAGAAATCAGTTCAAGGTTCCTCCCTTCCAGGATTGCATGTTAAGTTTCCTTGGATTCTCTGATGATGAGAAAGCTAACATGGAAGAAATGACAGAAATGCAAGGTTATTGTTTTTGAAAGTTGACCTGTGGAATGAATGGGGTTTATAGCTGAGAAATACTTCACTGAAGCCGAAATGCTAGATCGTGAATCCTGAAGCATTAATGAGGACTCTTCAACTTGGAGAGCTATAAGTTGATTTTTAGATGTTGGTGTATGCATAAGTTCTGGTAGCTGTTGAAGACTTCAGACTTCGTAGGCTGATCGAAACTGGACAATTTAAAAAGAAGTAATTATAGGATGCTTGAAGGTATCCTGGAAAACTTGCTATGTGATATGTATATTGTGCTTCAGTTTTCATAATCAGTTTTGTGGTATGCATCTTTGCATAATTCACAGAAAGTATCTACAATGTTTACACCTTTGATACGAATCATCGCTGGTAAAACACTTGATTGGAAGTGTTCCATTTTTTGGTAGTGTAGTACACTATTAATAATCACATTAACAGTAATGATGTAACAGATAAAAGGCTGGAGACTGGGAAGTTATTGCTAGAGTTGCATGTAACAGAGCTATAGAAATGGGGAAGGAGCAAGCTTGTAACAGCAAGGCTTTCTCAAAAGAGGTGAAAGTTGGCTGGGTTTGCTTTTCTTCCCCTGACCTGTTTACCTAAAGCTACTTATAAGATTGTGACATGCACGGGTTCTAGGTTGTGGATGTCTTTAGGGTGAGTATAGCTGGCTTGCTCTTCCAAGAAACAAGAAAAGCTTTCCAGGAGAATATTGCATTTATTGCCAGACAGGTTTAAATGCTCTCTGAACTCTGTGTACTCTTGACTTTTCAATGTCTACTTTACTACTGAGTGATACATGCTACTTCCTAAAAGGTGTCCACTGCTGATAATATCTGGGCTGTTATGTAAGCCCAACAACTGATCGGCTCACTGAAGAGTTCATCTCTCTTGGCTCTTCTCTCACTAATGATAGGTGCCACAGAACTATCAAGTGAGCTACTAATTTCTAACAATAATATTCTTCAGTCTTGCTAATATGCCTTTTTTTATCTAGGAGGACATTATTTACCGGTTGGTGATGAAAGGTGTACACACTTAGTGGTTGAAGAAAGTACAGTAAAAGACCTTCCATTTGAACCTTTAAAAAAACTTTATGTTGTAAAGCAAGAGGTTAGTGCTGACAAATTCTTGAAAGAATATTGCTATATAATACTCAGTATGTGAGATACACTTTTTCAGAATAAGCCACATGTTTGCATTTAGTATGCAAACTGCCTTACTATTATATACATTATTTTGAATATTTTTAACTTCGGGTGAAGTCCTGTAATGTGTTCTTAAGGTGTGTTTTCTTTTTTCCTTTAGTGGTTCTGGGGAAGCATTCAAATGGATGCCAGAGCTGGAGAGTCCATGTATTTATTTGAGAAGGTATGTTGAACTCTCTCACATAATGTGCAGCATGTATTTGGTGTTAAAATTATCATGTGCAATAGTATGTGTGGGGCCAGAGATAATATGTTTTAAAGCAGCATTTAAGTTTCAGATAATCTGTTATAAATTTTATACATAAAAATTTGCAAAACACTTTTTTCTGCTTCCCAAGGGTTGAACTTATTTTTAGTCAAACAAAATACTAGTGGTGTTTCCAGGTTAAAAGAAAAAAATTAAAAAAAAGGGGGGGGGCTTCACCTATTTTCCCTCAGCTTCCCGAAGAAGAATTGTGTTGTGTGCTGATCTCTACAATTAACTCACCTTTGCACTGACTTGAGCTGGACAGAGCGGGTGAAAACACTAAACTAAACTTTCTTTTACTACAGTCAGAGAGTCCTGGCCTCAAGAAGTCTGTGTCACTACTTTCTCTGAATACTCCAAACAGCAATCGTAAAAGACGCCGTTTGAAAGAAACTCTTGCACAACTGACCAGAGAAACAGACATGTCGCCATTCCCTCCTCGGAAACGCCCATCAGCTGAACATTCACTTTCTATTGGGTCCTTGCTGGATATTTCGAACACTCCAGAGTCGAGCACTACCAATGGAGGTAGAGCTAAAAAACTTTCATTCAGACCCACTTGCAGTGTTCAAGAGCTCTCTGCATACAAGTGGTAGCGGTAGGGAAGTCTTACAGGTTTTGCTACAGATTTCCTAAGTAATTCCAGGCTTTCTCCTTTTCAAAGTGTGCAGAAAGCAGAATTGGTGTGAAGAGTTCAGACACAGACAGAGACCAGGCTGCCTCTTGTCATTGCAGTAAGCGTATTCATACCTGAAGGAAAACAAGGAAAAGATATGGAGTTGATAAATATTAAGTACAGTGTTACTCCAAAATGCTTCAAATACTCTGCTGAAAATCTGCAGCAAATAAGCAACATAGTTAACAGTAAATCATCTAAAAGCCTCTCCAGTAGGATGTTTGGAGAATGGAGGTCAAAGATTCTTTTCTAAACGAATTAAAGGGAAAATTCCTGCAAAGGCCACTCCTCCTAGGTCTTTGAAAAGTTCTGTTGAGGTAACACTATTTGTGCCAGCAAACTCATGTCTAAAACTTCACAAGAATATAAATCACCAACTGATTCTGATCTGTTAATTGGCAAAGAGATTTTAATGCCTCGGCACATGGTTCTTGTGGAAGAGAGGAAACTGCAAAATTGTGGATTAGTGAAAAGCTAATATCTGAATTAAAAAAAAAAACAAACAACAAAAAACCAAAAAACCCACACCAAACTAGAACAAAAAAACCCACCCCCCACCCCAGTTCCATCATATAGAGGAGGTATCTGGAGTTACTACTGCTTTTAAAAAGCCCCTGTATACAAGTCAAGTAAGTAATCTCACTGAGGCACAACCTGTAAGTGATAATTCAGAAGGAATACAGGAAAGATAAGCTTACTCTTGAAGACCAGCTTTCTTAGGTCATGCTAGTGCTCTTGTAAGCGCTGGTACGGAAGTTTCTTCTAATCCAACATCAGCAGATAGTTTCAGAAAAAGTGCTATTTTGAAAACAACAGGTAAGGTACTTATTTCATAGTAACTGTGACAGTAATGAACTTGTGACATCAGAATGAGTGAGTACAGGTCTCTGAGGTCCAATACCTGAGCAAGTATTTAAAACTAATGGACTGCTTCAGGTCGACCTTGGCTTTAGCTTTAAGAATTTTTTTGTGTTTTCTCCCCCCCCTTCCCAGTAGGATGAAATGTAAGTGTTTCATGCAAGGACTGATTTTTAATAAATGGTTTTGAGCTACATACCTAATGCAAGGATGGTAGGCAGCTGAAAGATAATTGTTTACATGGCAAAATGAAAGAAGAAAAGGGCTTTTATACATGGTGTATGTATAAATAATGTTCAGCACCTAATCCTCACTTCCTACTAAACATAATAGGGTTAAGTCATTGACCTGCCCATAAATGACTTACTAATTTCAGACTAATTTTGAGGAATAATCTATTACTGTTGTTCTATAATTAGGCTGTAATAAAGAAAGCCATTTTCTAGAAAGAGCTCTGATAACTATGGAATAACCTACAGAGTAGCCTTTTAAAAAAAAAAAAGCTATCTTCCCTTAAAAATTCTGAAGATTTTTTCCTGTCTTTGAGGGTGAGCTTTTTTTTAGGGACTCTATTGTAATAAAGCTCTGTTTTCATTTGGGAATCTCTTCATCAGAAACACCAAAATCCTGTGCAAGGCCTTCCAAAAACTCAACTCCTCTTCCACTAAAGCAGTCTGCAAGATGGCAGGTTGCAAAGGAATTGTATCAGACAGAAAGTAACTACGTTGATATTCTAACAACAATCATTCAGGTGAGCTGGTTTTAAAGCAAGTACGGGTCAATTGTAATAAGACATATAGTGTTTACATCAATGATTATCTTCAACCTGTGATCTACAGGCTTTTGAGGGCTTGGGTGCATCAAAGGTTCATAAAAAGATGACAATGGAAACAGTCTCATGTAATTTTACTAACATATTAAAATGTTTAGTATCTGTTAATAATAAAGGCTGGAAAATACAATTTCTAATCTGGGATCTGCAGTGGAATTGCAGTTTGTATGAAAATTCCAAGCTTCAGAGAAATAGGGTCTTCGTGACTATATTAGTGAATAGAGAGAGATGGCAGGGGAAAAAACTTTTTTTTAATTATTCCAGGAAAAGCAGAATAGCAAACAGCTTACAGGAAGAGCTTAATTTCTAGAAGTTTGTTTCCATTGCAGCTGATTATCTACTTAAAGAATGAGCTAAGATGTGTGTGAATAGAAAAGTAGATGAAAGGGGGTTATGCTGTAGTGATGTATCGAACTCAGTGTTTGTATCATAAAACCACTCCTCTATAACCCACTCTTGCTAAATGGGAGTATCTCAAGATTGTGACTGCAGGAAAGTATGATCTGGAAAGAAAACACTGTTGCTTTCATAACTATTTCTAACACAATGTGTGGTGGTTGGGAGGGCATTAACTTTTTTGTCTAATTCATCAGCTATTTCAAGTTCCGTTGGAGAAGGAAGGACAACTTGGAGGACCAATCCTTGCACAGGAAGAGATTAAGACCATATTTGGCAGCATTCCAGATATTCTTGATGTGCATACTAAAATTAAGGTAAGCTGCAACTTCTCCCCTGCAGGGGAAGCTTTGATATAGACTTTGACTCTTTTCTGTATGCTTTAAGTTGTATCTGCTGGATAGGTGTAGATTCATCCTGGTGCTGTTACATACTGTTCAACCTATGGAATTATGTGCAAATCCAAAGTACGCTTCAAGATTTAATGCTTATTTATAAATATCTGAAGTCTGAGTATTGTGCATGTAACTAATATTGTCATTCATGAGCTGGCTTCTCCTTTTCCCATTTTAATACCTTTTCCTGGAGGAGGTTTTCTGTAACTGATAAAAACTGATCAAAAGGGCCAGTGGTATCAAATTGTAGTCTAGCTCTCACAAGTGCTTATAACGTACATGTTTCTATTAAAACAGTAAGGAAGGACTCTTGGAAGGATAGCTAAAGCTATGGAATTTAAAAAAAAAAAAAAATCGGTGTTTTCCTAGGCTTTAGACATGTTCATATAAGGAGACTTCTATCATTTGGTAGGAAAAACTAATTCCTCCTTAAATGGCTTTGAACCAATTGTCAGAAACTACCAGCTCATAAAACTGGCTCGCACTTCAGCCTCTGGAGCAGTTGACCTGGTACTGAGGCCTAATAAGAGCTGATTAGAATTCCCTATGAGATTGTTTTCTTGAGGCTTTCTTTATTTTATATTTTGATCTGGATTGCAAGTGCTCTCTGAAGCCATCTCTGGTCTCACAATAGACTATGATGCAATTCTTCCTCAAATATGAAGTCATAAAATCTTCAAATAATGGCATATGTCTGTTCCTGTCTGCATTTCAAAGTAGGCTTTTAAAATAGAGGGGCTTGCAGACTGCCTGTAACTCAGTGGTTTGGTTTTTTTGTTGTCTTTTGTTTTGCTTTTTTTACCAACCGTTGGGATCCAGTCTAGTTAATCACGATAGGTATTGATAAGTGCTCACTGAGACTGAGATGAAAGTAGAGCATGTGTGTCCATGTGTCAAGTAGGATTCACCTGCAGCATGCAGTGTAGACAGAGTTGCTCAGATGTAGTGATTGTGTTTTCCTTCATCTTTGGTGTAATAAAGATAAGAGAAGTGGCAGCAACAAACCAATATTAATGGTGAATCCTTTTCACTTAAGGTGAACCCTGAACCTTCAGCTGTACCCTCCTGTCCTTGTTGTTAGCTGACAGTGAATAAGCTTGATCCTTATCAAGCTGATACAGGCTTAACAGCTTGGTCTCACTTTCCTTGACACCCTGGTGCAGCAAGTGAGGGAAATTTATGCTAATTCTATTTCAATCCTATCTTACAGACTTAAGAGTCCTATATTAGTTGTGCACTCTTAATTAGAATTGGTTCAACTGTCTTCTGTGTATACTTTTTCAGTAATCATCTGGGATATATTCTGTAGTGTGTTGGACACAACAGCGTCATCTTGTTGCTGAGTTGGCTAGTGCTGATACACTGCTAGGCTCTGCTTGCATTGATTCAAAACTATATATTCAGTAAGCCAGAGCTCTCTTGCTTTCAGCTCTCAGTAGACTGAAGGGGCTTAATGTGAAATTGTACAGTTTTTAGGATTGCCTGGTTTGTCAGCATGGAAACACACAGCTAATTATATGTGTTTGGCAGAACACTGATCCCATCTTACAGCTTTATGGAGTTCACTCTCATCTTATTTTCTTCCCCCCCCCGTCCCTGCATGTATTCTAGGAAGACCTGGAAGATCTTATGATGAACTGGACTGAAAGCAAAAGTATTGGTGATATCATTCTTAAATACGTAAGTTGCTGTTTCTTTTTCTGTGCATTAGAGCTATTATGGGCTATTATCTTGCCTTACAAATAATCCATTTGTAGGAGCTAGAAAACACAAGCAAAGCACTACTGAGTGAGAAAGAACACTAAGTTGTATCATTGTATTTTCTGTTTAGACTTTTCAGTTGAGTTAAATGATGTACTTTATATAGGTAATCCATGTCAAGTTTAAGTCTATGTGTCTGTCCATTTGTACGAGGGGGTAAAACTCCAAATAGATATGGTTTGAGAACTGTAATTTGCAACACTACAGACATGCTTTTTACTCAGACATTAAAAGGGTCTCTTCCTGTAACCTTAGCTATCTGCTGCCTCTGATTAATAGTAAATAACTAGGAAAATAACTCTTCACGGAAATGTCTTGTGTTCTTCCTTCAAGACTTGAAATATGTAAGTGAATAAGGACTCCTTGTTTTCCCAAGTACAGAATGTGCAGAACAGGAAAGCTAGGTCTGTGACTGCAATGCATTTTAATCTAAGTAGTCTGCTAGGTATCTTGTGTTTTTGCTGACCTGATCATTTTGAGGCAAATAGTGTTTGGCATTCAAAAGTTTTCAGTCTAAGATATTGCTTCTGGTGGTTTAGTATCTTTTAATGGTGGTTGCAGTAACTGGAGAAAATACCTGTCTGAAACTTCCACAATTCTCACCAAAAGCATCTTGCTAGGTGAGAATCTGCCTTCTATTGGAATAATCTCCCCAGGGAAGTGGTGGATTCCCCAACATTGGACACTTAAGATTTGGCTGGACAGGGTGCTGGGCCATCTTGTCTAGACTGTGCTTTTGCTGAGAAAGGTTGGACTAGATGATCCTTGCAGTCCTTTCCGACCTGGTATTCTATGATTCTACTTGAGCTGCTCAGCAGCTTCTAAGGTTGTCACATGTGTACTTGATGTTTCTGAGAGCAGGCTGCATTTAATCAGCAGCACTGAATCTTGGGCATCTGGCATGCAAAAATGTTTTAACTTGTTCTGTGGACACGCATGGGTTTACAACATATTTTTTTTATTATTCTTTATTGAAATGTGCCTTTGAGCAGCTTTGTATGGCTCAGGGCATATGAACATATGTACAATGCTACATAATATGTAAAGCAGAGCCGTAACAGTTGTTTCTTTCAGTCAAAAGACTTGTTGAAAACATACCCTCCATTTGTGAATTTCTTCGAAATGAGCAAAGAGACTATTACTAGATGTGAAAAACAGAAGCCAAGGTTTCATGCCTTCCTAAAGGTAAGTGTCTGCAGAACTAAGTCTTTGAGTAGAACATGGAGACCATTACCAAGTAAACTACTTAATGCACTAGGTAGAAGAATGTGGTGTTTTGGAAGCTTGGAGGTATGTGAACATCTTCTTGGTGAGATGGAAATAAAAAAGATTTGAACTCCTTGTAAGATTATTTCATAAGAGGTCCACATTCTTCCTCTGCTATACAGCTTTTAGGGTAGTTTGATTATATGCATTTGTTGCTGGAAAAAGTGCCTTCTGGTTACTTTCTCCCAAATACATGTCTTCTCTTTTCTGTAAAGCTAGCTAGAGCTGCTGCTTTTTATTGGTCCCCCTCCCTGTGTTTAAAAGACTTGTATTTCTGAAATAGCTTTTAACTCGCTTTTGGCAGCTGTGAAGTTACAGGGAGGTAGAATCTCTCAACATTCTTGTGACTAATGAATAGGAGCATAACAGTGGAGATTTAACAGGAAGATGATCTTCAAAGAAAGAGTTACCTGAAGATGAGTCTTAAGACTCTTGAGCCCTTCAGATAAAGGTATATAGTTGACTAATAGTGCAGCATAGCTTGAACTCCTCTTCTATATCCAACAAGTGTGTCTCAAATAGTGGAGTAATCAAACTGACAGATTTCAGCTTATATTTTTTGAGGTACCAGGAATTATATCCAAGTATTGATGTCTGAAAGATGGGGAAATGAATAAGAGAACAGGCTGCCTACTGTCCCACTCCACGTTAGCATCTGAAACAAGGACTGAGGGGTTGATAATATGGACAGCTTAAAAATAGACATTCTGAGAACATAAATCATGTGATAAATACTGCGCAGATTTGAATATAACATGCTTTTTAACATGATCTGTTAATGACTGAGTATCTGTGGTAAATGATTCTCAAACTTTATTGCGATGCTAGTTTCAAGGAAGAAAATTTTTCTCCTAGTTTGTGACTTTTTGGGTGTTTTTGTGTGTGTGGAAAAAAGTAAGAATTACTTCCTTTCTCCCCTTTCTATTCCCCAGATAAACCAAGCTAAACCTGAATGTGGCCGCCAAAGCCTAGCTGAACTCCTTATCCGTCCTGTTCAAAGGCTGCCTAGTGTTGCTCTACTACTAAATGGTAATCTAGTGATGTATTTTTTTTAGTAGTTTGTGAACTACTTTTTCAATAAACACTGTGAAAGTGTTAAAACCAAGGTAATGTCTGCTTTTAGTCATAATTAGCAACAGCTTTTCTCATATAAAACAAGCCTGATTCTGGGAGTTAATCATCCTTAATAGCAGTCAGCAAGACCAATTACTGAAGAAAGCATACTTTTGCCTAAATTTTACTTGTTCATATATTTGTCTGCAGGATACAGGTAGAGGAAGAGTTTGCTCTGACAACAGTTTTCTCTTCAAATACAAATATAATTAAGATTCAAATGCAGCAGTATAAACTAGAGAGCACTTTGTATTGACGAAGCTTACAGCTTCATGTGTTCCACCTGGTCTCAACCACTTGCTGTAATAATGATTACGTTAATAAAAATAATAATAAAAAACCCACACAACCACCCCTTGTTTCAGTTAAAAGACTTCCATACTTGTCTCTGCACTTCAACAAAACCAGCATGTGGTCTTGTTGATTTTTTTTTTTAATAGTTTGAGGGTTTGGTCTTGTATGGTCTTGTCTTGTAGGTAGGTTTTTTCTTAATGAGATGCATGGACAATTGCTGCTCAGCCTACTTCCCCACTTAATCAAGGCTATTTGGACTCCAGGATAGCTGTGATTTCTTCAGTCATCTGACTTACAGTTTAAACTTGAATTTTTCATATTTCTTTTCAGGCACTTGTAATGCATGTGGGTTGTTTTTTTTTTTAATTGTAGACATTAAGAAGCATACAGCAGAAGAGAACCCAGATAAAATAACCCTAGAGAAAGCTATTGAATCATTAAAGGAAGTGATGACGTAAGTGATGCTTGTTCTATGAAACTTACTGTTACACATTTAGATCTCTCTGTTCCTTCTAAATTGCTCTTAGTGTGTTGTTGCCATAACATTAGTCTCCATGTAAGTATATGTAATTGTATGTGCTCTTCAGTCTCCCTTTGGCCACTGTTGTCACTTTGGTATTCTGTGCCAGAGCTCTTGAAGTCTGTGGCATTGTTACCCAGCACTTCTACTGAACCTCTGCTGACTCCCTGCCTCAGTATGAAGCTGAACCTCCTGAGTCCTCTGTTCTCTTCCAACTCTTATTTCTATATATTCCCTCCAGAATGGAAGAGATGTGTTTTGTCTTAAAATCTTACTTCTGTGCATATATATCCACTGAAAGGACATGCTATTGGTGGAAGATTAGTTTCTCTTCTGGCCCTGAATTAGCTATTCTTGGCACCATTCCATGAGTTAATTAGCTTAAAGCTGAAGCTGTTTAGATTGTAAGTCTCACCTCTTTTGAAGTGTAGCGTATGTCTTCAGCAATGAGACCTCCTGTACTAATTGGGTAAATGTTTGTCCAATTTTAACAACTTTTAAATTGTAATTATTCTTGCATCTGCCTCTTGGTGAGCTGCGGTCGTGACTTGGGGGGATAAAATGCAGGCTGTGAAGAACTGCATTGGTTTGGTCTCTAGTTCAAAATCTTATGGGGCAGAGGAGGGGAATTATATATTAACTGAATGGTGTGTCAACCACTGATAACGTGACAAGAAGATTGTTCTAGGTCTGAAGTTTCCTATGCGCTTAGCATATGGTATTTGGATACTTCAATGAGCAAGTGTGGTGGATTTTGTGTTTTCCAGTGCTGCTATGTAAACTATATCTCTGAATGTTTAGCTTCATTATTTTTGTATGTCTTAAATGCAGTGCATTCATTTACTGTGGCTTGGTATTGAAGATAAATATAATATGCTTCCCTTAGACATATTAATGAAGACAAAAGAAAAACAGAGGCACAAAGGCAGTTCTTTGATGTTGTCTATGAAGTTGATGGATGTCCAGTAAGTAGTTTCTCTGAAGCTGCAGACCTGTAAAATGACTGTGTGCTAGTTTGCTCCCTTTGCAAAAGTATGTGAGGTTAAAATGCAATGGTACTGGTTTAAACAGATTTCCAGTGTTAAGTTGTAAGCAAGCAGTAATCCAGTCCTTGAACTAAATGCTTAATGAGCTTTTTACTTGTATCACTTAGGCCAATCTCTTGTCCTCTCACCGAAGCTTAGTTCAGCGTTTGGAAACCGTAGCACTTGGTGATGACCTCTGTGACAGGGGAGAACATAAGATGACTATATAAGTACATCTCGTGAACTGAATTAGAAAAGGCTTGGCACTACATATGAATATAAACAAGTAAAATTTAAAAACTCTTGAAGGAGAATTCTAAGACATGGAAAGCTGATAGCGCAACACATGCTGATGTTACCTTTACATTAGCTATTGTATAAGCCAACACAAGTAGCTAGTCAATTCTAGATGGTTGAGAGGTGTTAATGTAGCCTTTAATGTCTTGCAGCCAGATCAAAAATTTAAAAGCAGCTCAATATGTTAAGAAATAAATGTTTATCTGAATAGCACTTTGAGTAGTATCAATGGATGAAAAAGTGCTGGAGTCCTTGGCTCAGCAGGATGTTTGTCCTTTTAAAGTTTAGTCATATTTAATATGAGTAAATAGTGGGCCTCTGGGGTAGGTATGTCTGTGCTTAGGCTACAAAAAAATAAAAAAATTCACCTATTAAATGCCTTAGATTAACAGTATGTTAGGAAGAACTAGGAAGGAAAAGTAATCTAGCTGGGTTTTGGAGACTTAAGTGGAGAAACTAAGGCTGTAAAGGACACTTTATGAAAGTACTTGTTACTGTCTACAGCAGTGAAGAACATTGTCTTCGTAGAAAACCAACTCTAAAATAATCGAAAATTAGTGCTGTCTTAAGCAGCACTTAGAGACAAAGGCCTATTGTTGTGACTAGCGATGAACTCTTCCTGGGAGTCAAGTTGACTCAGCTTCATTACTTCTTGTAAAGGAAGGAAAGGAAAAGGAAAATGAAAATGCTTTTAATAAAGCTTCTTGGCTTATCTCTTGTACAAGATACAAGCAACTAAAGATACCTTACTTAAAACACATGTAAGATACCTATGTGTTAATGTAAAGTAAAAACTGACTGACCAACCTCCACTGCAAAATCCACTTGATAGCTGCATGCACAAGCAATGGCAAGTGATATTTCTAGGACGTAACACACCACAGCCTAAGTTGGTTCATGCATATAGATGTCTTTTCTGTTTAAATCTAGACTATCTTGTGGTAGGTTTCAAAGGGCCCTTGCTTGCTATGCAGGGTAGAATTGAGGTCTGTAATGCAAAATTACTTCCCCTCTTGATATTTTTTTTTTAATTTGTTTTATTTTTGAGGTGAGTGTATTGATGCTAAGTAACAAGTATTGCCGGGCCACTTGAATTGTAGACAGTGAATAGTGAGATAAGTGAGTTCCTCAAAGATTTATGTGGTAGAGTAAATAGAGTAAAATACTCTCTAGAGTATTTTTTTGTAGCAAGGCTTTCTGTGCCTTCCTGTGTACTAGAAGGTAAAAGAATAGAAGAGAAACAAAACAACGGCAATAGACCTTCTAACTTTAACCTCTTTGTCTTCTATTTAACTGCAGATTGCGAGGAAACGGCATAAAGTTATTGGTGCTTTCAAGAGTCCGCATGGCCACACGAGGCCTCCTGCATCTCTCAAGCATGTTGTTCTCATGCCTCTCTCCCAGATCAAGAAAGTCCTAGACATCAGGGAGACAGAAGGTCTGTATGTTTTGAAGTGCTGTGATAGCTAATGAAAACTGTAGTTCAGAGTATAAAGGATGAAGGTCTGGGGATAGAATGGTAAGGTATGTTTGTTGTATGGTATGTTAGGTATGTGATTTTAGTATAAGCTTCTGTTTGAAGCTCTGTATGAGCTTGAGAATTCCTTGCATTTGACACCTTTTGGCTTTTCAAGAATCGCTGCAGGATGCTGAATTTGGCAGAACTACTAGATGGCATTAGCATAAGCCAATCAAATGGCAGTGTGAGTTAAACAGAGGAGTACACTTGACAGCTCTGGATTTACAAAACAAAAAAACCCAAACTTCAGTCCAGAGCACTAGACTGACCAGAGACAAGTGCTATTGCTGTGAAACCAAAGCTTCGTTTAACTGATGATAATGATGCTCAGGAGGAGCTGTGCTTAGCATCTTAAAGGAAAGATTTAGATGATGTAACTTCTGTGGCTGCTTTGCCATACTGAGACTGTAGGAGTTTCACTGAAGTAATACCTTGCTACAGCAGCAGAACTCATGCTACAATACTGTTCCAGCCTTGATAGTGACTTCTTTAGAAGTCTAGTCAGACTAGTTTCTAGATTTATACCCTAGAGAGCTAGATTTGATATTTCACTGTAGGTGATGGTATGCATGTCATACTTGTTCTGCCTAATGTTCTCTGAAGCACCTGAACATCGAAACCCAATAAAAAATAGAAATGGCAAAGAGGGTAGGTAGTAAACGTGATGCCTACAAGGTACTTTAGGGTTTCTCTCTTAAGAATTCTCTTTAAATCACTGTGCAATACTTAAGTTTTATTTGGGACTTGGGCGATGGGAGCCATTTGTAAGCATACCATTTAATATTTGCTATGAACTTTAGTATGCAAATCTTGGGAGAGGTCAGCTACTTTCTTTTATATACACTCTCTTATAAGACTGCTTTTCCAGTGCTGCTTTTCTGAATTGGTGATGGGTAGTTTTTTCTTTTTCTCTCTCAACTGTGTTTAACATGCTTCAGCTGTGTCTGCTATAAAGGAGTATCAGCAATGGATTAATTTTCTGCTATCAAGTGAGCAATCGTTATCAAGTTTAAACAGTAAAACTGTTGTAACTTGACTATTAATGTGTCATATATAGTACTGATGTCTTTGTTGCTTTTTCCTGCTTTACCCTACAAAATAGGGTAAATGTTGTTTTCCTTGTTCTGATTTAAAAAAAAAAATAAATCTAACACTTCATGAGTTAGCAGTAAATACCAATTTCATTCTCTATATCCAGCAAAGACTGACTAGTCTGCAGACTATGGTGTGCAGATTATTTGCTGAATAAACAACTGCTGCATGAACAGCTGATTGCAGCCTCTTGATGAAGGTTGCGGACAGAACTCAGTGCTCTTGCAAGTGATACAACAGCTATAGTGTAAATAAAGATAAAATCCTTGCACCAAATCATATTGTCCTTAACTCTAGCTCCTGGCAGATGGAGGGTTAACTTTTCTGAAGGTTCCCCCCTGAATTATATAAAAAATCATTATTCTTTGTCTTAACTCCTTGCCTCTCTTTTTATAAACTGTAGATTGCCATAAAGCTTTTGCCTTAGTTGTGCGGCCACCTACAGAACTCAACAACAAGCTACTTAGTTTCCAGATGACAACTGAAGAACCTCCTAAAGAAGATTGGTTGAAGATGTTGTGTCGGCATGTGGCTAACACTATTTGTAAAGCAGATGCAGTAAGTACTCTGGAACCATTTTGCTGATTGGAAATATTTCTCTCTTTTTGGCTTGAAGCACATGAAGCTGAAGAACTTGTTAATAGTGGACATGCTTGAGGTGAAGTAGAGCAGAAAACATTTGTGCTAGCAGGTCTGCAAGTGAGTGGTTAAAAGGTGGAAAAGGAAACAGCCTGGAATTTAGCTTCTACAGAAGCTAATAACTACTTAAAAATCAAGAATCCTGCTCTTCCCCCATCACAACTTAATTATAAATAATTTAAACTCTGCACTGCAGATCTAAACAGAATTGTCTTGAGCTTGCTTCTTTCACAGCTATGTTTAAATTTACAACCCCAGCATTATGAATCGTAAGTTTTGGTTTAACTCTGTGTTAGGCTGAATTCTGTGTTCTATACCTTATTTGAATGGGCACCATAATGTAAGAGACATGAAGCATCTTCCTCCTATAGACAGAAGCCTACAACCTTTAAACAAGGAAATAAAGAAAGCAATGAAATAAAGGAGACACTGGCCTCCTCACATTTTCAGACATTCAATGTGTGGGCTCTCCACAGCCAGAAAACTACTAATTTGAAGAGTAGATCCTCTCCAATTAGGGCAAGAGACTTTCAGCTAATGTTTTAATTATGTAAGAGTGTATGCATATCAGTCATCCAAATTTGCTGAAAATATGTGCAGTACATATAGCTGAAACATCTTGAGTTTAAGCTAGAAATGTTTTATGTTCTGCATTTTACACTTACTGTAAAATATTTGATTGTGATTTTTTTTTTAAAGACATGCTTGTTTCAGGAGAGGTAGTTAAGTAATCAAAATAGCATCTTAATTTTATTTTCTTTGGCTTGTCATCTGGGGACTTATTAATAAGAAACTTGGCTTTGTGCTTTTCCTTCCTTTTAGGTACTGAGTAGGAAAAGTACTGATTCAGAAGTGTTAATTTACTTTAATCTGTCTGCCGCCTATCTTCAGTCTTTTGTGTTACATATAACACAAAGGGATGGAAAAATGTTGGGTTTTCTTAATAGAAATTAAATCTTTGTGTAATAAATGTATCATTCCCTCGTGCCCTAGAACATCCAGAATCATATGCTGACAAATTGTAACCTACTATGCTGAATTCCATTAGTTATAATTTCTGTAACTACTGCTTTGTACCAACTATATAATACTTTTTTCTTGCTGATTTAAATGTCAAATTGAGCTTCAATTTAAGCACACTTCCCCTTTTCCCTGTTCTCAAGAACCCTGTAGCATCATGTGAGAATGAGATAGCGTTGGCTTTGCCACATGGTGGCAGTAAAGGCTTTAACTACTCCTTGTTAGACGCTAGGAATAGCCATACAGCTTGCTGTCTGGTGTCCGTATGACTTCTTTTTTCAAAACTTTTTTTGGTAAACTGTCTTTTCTCAAAATAAAACCCCAAAACAACAACAACACCCCCAGCAACTTCCCACTCCCATGCATGTCCCCCCACCCCCAAGTTTTGTAAGTAGGTAGCCAGAGGTTGCTTTGCACATGCTAGAGTTGAAGAATGAGGCATGAAAAAAAAAAACCAGAACTTGTGGGTATTCTGAAACATCTATTGGGCTTAAGCTGAAAGACTTAGTCTTAATGTTTGACAGCTGGAGCTATCGAGATTTCACTTCAGAAGTGTGCTGGATGTGTCAGTGAAACAGAGGCATGTATCTTGTGAAACTCCCTGGGTACGCTTCAGAGCTACTGCCTTCTACTTTGGTCAACCCTGAACTTGAAACTGAATCAAACCAACCAAATGTAAAACTACTGATGAAGTGGTTTCATAAACTGATTGTAACAGCAGTTAATCTAATGAAATGGCATGAAAGAAAATAACTGCTTAACTGTATATTGAGAGTTAAATATGGAGGAATATGGCAATTAAAACCTCTAAATCTGACCTAATGAACTAGAGAATGATATTTTGACAAGTGCTGATGTTTGACCATTATTAAGACTATTTTTGTCTATAGGAAAATCTCATTTATACTGCTGATCCTGATTCAGTTGAAGTAAATACTAAAGATATGGACAGTACTTTAAGCAGAGCATCCAGGGCAATAAAGAAAACATCAAAAAAGGTAAGATACTATAAAGATAGTGCTTTACAGTAAACCCTGTTTTAGTCAGGGAATTGTGCTAGTATTCCTGTTTCAGGTCTTTTGTAGTACTTAGTGTGACAGGAAAAACATAATCTGAACTAAAACTCTTAAGTATAAGCTCCTTAAAGAAGGTGGGGAATGTTTGAGGTTTTGACTGAGTAGTTTTGAAGTATCTGTATATAGTCTTAAGTATTATGGTCATAAGTATTATGTAGTCATTTTTGAGTCTGTTACGGAACTTACTCTGTCTAATATTTTGAATCTTTGAATCTATATATACTACAAAAAACCCCAACCCTCAGCTGTAACTGGTTTTGGCATATTGAATGGAGTTTTAAAGCTGCATGCGATTATCTAAATTTAAGTACCTTCAAAAGTAGGATGGGTGTAGAGTATGTGTGTCCTGGTAATAAAATAAACTTTGAAATAGCAACGGAGTAAGTGCTGAATGCTGGTGTCTGCCTGTGTATGCTTTCCTTTGTGTGTGGCTTAGCTGCTCTCAACTAATGGACTGAGGAACTGTGCCCTATTCTGCTAAGAGGACCTGGCTGGGAGGCAGGAGGAAGGCTGCCTGTCTGCTCTGTCATGTTGGCTGTGCAATGGGTTTGGTTCTGCTAAAGTTTGTGGTGTGTGAGAAGGGGTGACAGAGTGATGCAGCAAGGAGGAATCTGTTCCCCATTCTCAGCAGCCTTGCAGCAGGCTTAGTATGTTCAAGATGATAATACTGTTTCTTAGAGAAAACTGTAGAGGCTGCTGCAGTTTGGAAGCTACTGAAGACTAAATTGAGAGCAACTTAAAGGAGGGGGGCCTGACTTTGCAGAACCCAAGGGACGTGAGGAAGCCTAGTTAACTAGACCTTATTTTGACCTCTCCCTGAATATCCACCCCTCCCCGTCCCCATGTTGTCTTCATATTTGGGCAGAGTGAGAAGAGTAGGGGTGATGGGGAGCCTTAAAAGTCAGATCAACTTGTGGGTGTGTGTGTTTGGCTAGTTTTGATACAGTCATATTAACATTTGATACATGTCCTACAAATGTTCAAACTTGAATGGTAGCCTATATTGTAGTAGGTATTGCAGCCTGATTTTTGTGAGTGTATAACTGCTTGTCAAACTCCTCAGGTTACAAGAGCATTTTCTTTCTCAAAAACACCAAAGAGAGCTCTTCGAAGGGCTTTAATGTCGCATAGTGCAACAGAAGGAAGAAGTCCCAGTTCAGCTAATGAGAGTTATCTAGGCAGCCAACTGACTAGTACGTCGTCATTAGTGGTAAGTGATTTGGCTATGCAGGCCAAATAAGTAACCTTTTTAAGATCACAGTTACTTTAATGTCTGGTGTTGATCTTACTTTAACAATTTCAAGATCCACAGTGGAAAAATTTATTTTTAACTACATTCATAGATGTGTTATTTTCTGAGCAAGAGTTGTTTAATGAGAAGGCTTACTTGCTGAAAATGCAGAAATGCTGTATGTACTAGAAACTGGGAGATGCCTTGTACAATTAAGTTGAGGGAAAAAAACCCCAACCTCTTCTGCCAGAGATGGAATATGTATCCTCTTCTGAGAGAGTGAGAAACTTCCAACGCACTGTCTTATGTTGGTTCATGCTTTTGATTTTGGACAATATATACAAATGTGGTGTACAATCCTGAATAACATGGTGAAATTATCAATGAGAAAGTAGTGAGATGCTAGACAACCTGTGAAACAAACTGGGAAGAAAGGGTAGAGAAATATAGATGCTGCAGCCTGAGAGTTTTTGAAAAGATGAGGGAATTATCTCCTTATACATGTTTAAGAAAACTTGGTAAAATAATGTATTGTCCTACACACTGCAACTCTTTTCCTATGCCTGGCTACCTATTGCAGCTTTCTTCTGCTACATTAGGTCAAACTCAATTTCCTAGTACAGTCTAGTAAAGCAGACTAGATTTGAAGGAATTTTTTCATCATCTTTACTTTTATTCTAGTGTTTGAGTAAATCTCTATGCTGAGTAAACATATACTTTAAAGTCGTCTGTAGTTTGTAGGACAGAAGGCCAAGAACAGGATTTCCTGTGTATCTTTCTACTACTGCCTGATATGTCATACCTTAATATAGAGATAATTCAGTGTGTTTGAGTGGCCATTAAGTTGTACAACATAAAGATATTGCCCTGCTCTCCCACATGAGATAGGCAGGAGAAAATGTGAATTAATAAGGGAGGAAGTATCACAGTGGACTCCCTTGCTTTAGAGGAAATAAAAAAATCTACCAGTGTGGATATACCCCAGTTCTCTGTAGAGACTTTCTTCTTTCCAATTATGTTTGCTCCAACAATTGTTTTCGAATTCTAATATTCTGTCTTCATTTTGATACAGCACTTTATCTCATTTCTCATGAAAATGCAAGTCATGCACTTTTCTTTTTGTGTCTACCCCATACAAAAATATTTTTTTCCACAAAATGATAGGAACTTATAGTAGTAAAAACTATTTTCCTATTTCAAATTCTTCCTGGAGTTCTTGGACCTCTGAGGTAGTAAGTTGCAGCTTCGCAGCAGATCATATGTTGTGTGTGAGGTGTGGTTTTGTTTTTTTGGTTGGTTTTTTGTTTGTTTGTTTTTTGTTTTTTTAACCGACCCCACACACCACTGAACTTGCATAATGTCTTTTTGGTTGAATCATAAGGTTGAGGGGGAAAGAGAGGTTTAGATTCCAGCCCCTCAAGTTGGGATACCAGTGCAGTTCTTGAGTAGGAAACTAAAGCTGCAGGAAACCTGTCTGAGTCCATTGAGAGAGTCAAAGCTTTTATTCAGACATATTGTTTTATTTAAATAAAATCCTGGCCTGTGCTTAAGTGGGGATTTTTGGTGTAGAAAAACTATAGACTAAAAATATCAATAAAGCTTGAATGCTTAGGGTTTTTTTCTTGTTTGGACTAACTCTTGAACCCCTTCCTAATTGTAGATTGCTCGTTCATCTTCTACGTGCAGCCTAAATGGATCTGTCAAATGTGCTGTTAATGTTCACCGCTCCAATTCTGTTGATTGGAGCTCTCAAAATTCCAGGCCTCGACCTGTGCTGTGTCCTGGCTCTCCAAATATTCGTCTTTCAAATGCTGTAGAAGAAAAAACATCTTCCAACTTGGAAAGCTTAAATGGTCATGCCTTGGACAGACCATGTCCTATCCCTATTATTACTAGCACTTATGGTGATGCTGGAGATAATAACCAGTGTGGTGCTGAAAAATTCTGTACATCACATCCTGACTGTTAATGCCCATCTTGCATGAAGTGAGCAAAAAAACCTTGATTCCTCTAAACTAAGACAGCACGGTACAACTATATAAAACCCTAGAATCCACGAAGTGTTTTAAATGGTGTTGGGTTTTTCTTTGACTTGTTCTAATGCAAGGGGTTGGAGTCACTACTCACGTGTGGTCTAGTTCTATTTCTGGTTCTGGGTGCAAAGTTAATTCTTTTACAAATCCTTTTAATTTTTCTGTGTGTTTTTTCTTAATTCATTTCTGTACAATTGAATTACTTACTGTTTCAGCTCAGTTGTCCAAGTGGCAGCGTAGCTCACTGACCAGAGTTCTGAGGACTTTAATAACTTGGTTGCAGCAGCTAATTTTACCTATGGTTTTTGTTCCCCTACCTGTAAATAGAAAAAATATCCTGTATAAAATACTTTACAGCAGCTTTTATTAGACTCTATAAAGAGGAGTTTGGGATTTAATTTTCAAATATTGCCTATGACTGCAAATAGATGATGTGTCATAAACAGGCATTAGACTTCATAGTGAAGTGGTAGAGCCTTACCTGCTCAAAATATCCCTATTTAAAAGATTCTTGAAGCATGCAGGTGCAGCAAGCTGCCTAACTACCATGACCTGTTTATATGCTGAAAAGCTTGGCTGTGCTATAAAGAGCAACAGAAGATTGCTTGTGAAAGTATCTTGAGGTCTAATGTAAAAAGAATATAAAATCTCAGCTGATCCAAAGAGGTTAACTTTTAGGGCTACATATTGATGTAGAAGCAGCCTATGCTCCTAGCACCAGAAAAATCAGCTTTTTGCCTAGTTTGTGCCCATCCAGGCGCAGCTAAAGCAAGCTTTGACAAATCATTGTGATGTTTATTGCCTTCTGTAGCCAAGAAGGCATATGTTCAACATCTGATTTGGGACTCGGAGCTGGTAAGAATACAGAAAGTTGTAGGATCTGAGGGGAGCTCCATTTCTCTAAGAGATTATCATAATGTATCTTGCTTTCAAGTTGGAGGGAGATTGTTATAGCAAAAAGTGTGATGCAAGATGTATGCTAATACTTGGTTAACAGCTACTCCTCAAAAACATGTTCTTGCGTTCTGAATCTCTCAAGGCTGGTAACAAGGAAAAATCTTTCTTCTGCATTTTTAAAAATATGCATTCTACTCATATGGTGCTCTTTAACTTTTCTGTTCAAAATCTAGAAATGCTGTATCATTAATTTCAAAAGCTGCCAAACTTAAATATCTTCTGCGCTGTTACATTCCTTATGCTATGTATCAGGGTTGAGAAATGACTACTTAACTATTGACATAGGCTAACAAATGATCAAATAACTTTTTTTTTTCTTCCCCAACAGGGTGTTCCTTCTCCTTCCTTGGTCAGTCTTCCCTCGATCTTTGAAAAAAGGAGTCATACATTAAGTCGATCAACAACCCACTTGATATGAAGCAGGTTTAAAATACAATGCTGTATTGTAATGACCGACAAGCAGCTGGCTGTTCAAATGACTTGTTACTGACATTAATGGTACCTTAGTCATTAGCACTTAGCAATGATTAGCAAAATGTTAGATAACACTAAGTTAATCACAAGGGGTTTTTAGTTGTATTGAAGCAGATCGGCTAATCAGTGGAATAAGTAACTTGGTCTTCATTTAAGACACAGTATTCCCTTGCACAAATTTATTTTCTCACCACCATAGCATTTTCTTCTATGGAAATTGTCCCCTTTAGGCAATAACCTAGTTTGTCAGATTTTGAAATGAAGATGATGTTCACATAACTTACCGCTAGTTTGGATGACTCTTATGCTTGCCTAACTTCATCAATTGGCAGAGCACTCTAATGTTTGAATTGTTGATTTCTTAAACGGAGATGCGTTATGAAGTACCTGACCTTTCAAGTATGACAGTTAACCTGTTGTACAGCTGCTTATTCCAGATATTTTATAAATGTAGTTGTTTATAAAAAGGTAGAATTGAATTTCTGAGATTATGGTCTTCCGCAGCCTCACTGTAACACAGTGGTATGTTACATGGGTTTATTTGAACAGTAAGTTTGAAGGCTGCGCCTAGCTTTGACCACCAAAAATGATCAATTGAATTCCTTGAATTTCTTTGAAGTGGATGTCTGAGGAAAATAATTACACTCCCTTTTAGTAGGGCTGTTAAACAAACCGACCCCCAAACCCCCACACCTTCCATATACTTGGTTAATGAGTCATTATTTAATGCATGGGATTATTGGTGTGACATGGTAATTTGACGGCCCAATTTGGGTGTGTCAAATTTCAGGTGTAGTACTCCTAAGGCTTTTACCTGGCTTTCTCATGTATTTGTACCTTCCTTCAAAACTATATGTTCACTTCTTTCATCTCTGAACAGTTGGTATGATGCAATGCTATCTCAGGAACTATCTAAATATGTATATTTCTGCATTTCATTAACGGTTTAACTGTCTGTATTAGCAGGAGTTCTCAACTTCTGGTTTCTTTTTAACCACCAGTGTCTTGTCTTATGTCTATATGTAACTAGTGATGCTTCTGAATGTGTCAGACTTAACTGTTTTTATATCTCTTTTTGCCAATCCAAGCAATGTAAATAAACTGTTTAAAATAACACTGCTTATGGCTTTGCTAAACAGGCTTTTATGAGAGTCTACTTTGTCTTTTCACATAAAAAGCGTTGTGTTGGGCTCCAGCCTACAAATGTACTCTGATTAACTATATAGCTATTCCTAATAATGTATACAACTTGGTGGGCCTGAATCTGCCAGAACCAACCTTTTTTTTTTTTTCCCCTTAATATATTCACCATTCTCCCCTCTTCCCCTGGATATATGTATCCATGGGGTTTTTGTCCTTATCCGTTCAAAATAAACATCTGAGGTAAATATGCACTGACACTTGCATAATAAAGTGGCTCTAGGAAATAAACTATTCAATAAATACTATGCTAAAAAATCAACAATGGTTTTTGGTTTCTTTTTTGTTGTTTTTGGAAGGGCATCTTCAACCTGGTAAACTCCATACAAACTTATGATAATATCAGCCTGTCATTATTCCTCTGGTCGTCTTTAATTTCCAAATTATTTGTATTTAGCTTCTATATCAAGTTCACTTGCACTCAAAACCAATTGAACCTCTAGTGCTTACTGTATTGCCTAATCTTGTCATTACCACTACTGCACAGCTCTGTTTATGCTAAACGAATGGAAAATGATTGTTCAGAGTTAAACTGCTCTTCATTTGTTGCATGTAACTTCCTAATGGAGGAACCAGTTCTGCTCAGTCTTGCTAACTCTTGAAGAAGGAGAATGAGGAAGGCTATGCCTGCCTTCAGCGTGAATTTCTGGATGCATTATTATCTGATCCTGTTATGTCAAGCTTCAGCATGAGATATCCCTAATTTTATTTAAAAAGTAGGTGTACTGTTAGATTTTCTTTTTTTTTAAGAGAAAAATGGCAGCTCAGTCTCCTTGTCATTAACTGAGATGATATATTCATTACTTTGTCTACTGCTCTTTGACTATGCTCTAAGGTGATGTACTCTAGCAGCAGTTAATTGAAGGCACACTTGGTCCCAAACTGGTGGGAGAATACGCCGCCACTGTGTATCATAGGGTTGTGCTGAAGCCCTTAACTGCTTTTTAGACATTGACTGTCAGAGGACCAGAAGCTTTTCAGTGAGACAGAGAGAAGGGAAAACAGTGAGGATTTGGGTTAAAATAACAAGCTGAGAGGTAACAATTAACACTGATTTGCTGATTTGACAACTTGTTCTCAATCTAATTACCTAGAGCGGCGTAACAAGTCTTTCGGATACTGGAGGAAAAAGCAGGAATCATCTGACCCAATTTTAGTAAGGCATTGTCTTGCATAACAGTATTAGAAGTTTGCTAGCAGAGGGGAAACTACTTGTGAGCGAATACAGAACTGGCTGATCTCTACCCACTGGACAACAAATCTTATTAGTTTCCACTGTGGTCATATTGAGTGGGGCTCCCCAGGGGTCTGTTCAGTATTTCTATTGACTGAGTGGATAATGGAGTGGGAGGGTGTGCTTATTAGTTTTACAGCTGTCACACAACAGCAAGAAGCTTGAGTACATGACAGAACAGGATTAGAGGTGGAAGTAAGCTTTCCAAGTTAGAGAGGTGCTCCAGAGTAACAGAATCAAGCAAAACCAAGACATTTTTACAAATGAGAGGTTTGCCCCCACCTTCTCCATTTCCAATACTACATGTACATGTTGTAGCATTAGAACAAGTACATAATTTTGGGGGGTATTTTGGTTGGTGCTCTTTTAAATTTTAGGTGAGACTGGTTCTCAAAACCAGAATTTTAAACAATAACACTTTTACCATCTAGCTGCTATGGGATGTGCCTCGTTGAGTAACAGTAGTCATCTGATTTTGTACAATACCTAGCTTCAATCATGACACAGACAATTCAAATCTCCTGAATAATTTTTTAAACTTCAGAGAGTTTAACTGAATTAAGTGTAATTTCTGAAGTCTTTATGCTGAGATTTCTCTATCAGTAAGTTATAGGATTTGTTCTGCAACTCTTTAAGGAGCAAACTTTGGGATAAAAAGGACATTTCTTTCTAACCTAGCTCTCATTCACTTACTGTTGTGCTAAAGAGTTAGCCAGCACACATTCAGCATACAGAAGAATTGTTTTCATCCAGAAAGACTGGAACTCTGAAGAGGAGGTCAAAGGTTGATCTTTGTTTAAAACACAACCTTGTCTTGTAGGCTGTACAAAATCAAACAGTTCTATGAGCTCATGGTCACTGCTACAAGAATCCTTGCTCCTAACCATTGTTCTAAATTGGTGCCTCTTAAATTGAAGAACAGCTATCAAAGGAAAGGGTCTTCTGTTGGGTAGGTGTTAGGTGGGGGTGTCTCACGGTTCCGATCCAAACTTCAAAGGAGAATGCAGTTTTCTAGCAGCATGCTTGCTTGCTTTCTTCCCTTGTTAGTATGTGTATCTTGAAGTGCTGGGTAGTAGCGCTCCAAGAAGAAAATTCCTTTGAGTAGGTGTGCTATATGTACATTGCCATGGAGTTTATTTAAGTATGCCCTTCAACATTTTGAGAAAATTATGTATTGTGTTACCAACCTATCTTTGTTACTAGTTGAAATACGGAATAGTGCTCAGAAGTTTATACTATGAATGGTGTTTAAGAAGCCTGTATAGCTGTCGGGTGGTAGTTTGGAGGGAGTACGCAGACTAAAGCTTGTACTGAGGCAGGGTGTTGCATAAGGAAGCAATTGTTTGTTTGCTTGCTTAAAAAAATTAGAAAAAAACCCACTGAGACATTAAAGAAGCCGGCAGTTGGCCAAGAGGCTGGAGGAAGTCTGGGACACAATTTGGAGCTGAACTCTTCTCCCTTTGTTGATATCTGAATCACGTGAACTTCCTCACGTAGCTAAACCTGGGCTTGAGTGGTCCAGCCATTCACAAACCTATACCTAGAATTCATAAACATACACTCACGGCAAGCTACTAAAGCATTTATGGACTAAGATGATTAATCATTTATAGGTTTTTGTTCAAAGAGAAAAGGTGGAGAGATTACAGCTGCTTGAGAGCACCTGTTTGTGAATCTGTTGTAGATTCAATAGAATGGCTTGACCTGTATTTTGCAGAAAAATAGTTGCTGTTTCAAAAATAGGAGCTGAAAACGCCACTGTGAGATGGATGTTTACCACCTCTGAAAGCCAGCCATCAGAGACAAAACAGGGGCTAGCTAGAACGTACTTTAAAAACACAAAAGCTGTTGAGAGCTTAAAACGCTGGCTGAGTGCTCTATGCAGCTGACATTGGAAGGGTGAAGGCAAACTGGTGCCACGTTCTTTGCCTTGGGACCGGTTTTAAGCGCAGAGCCAGAAACCTGCTCTCTCCCATCAGTAACAAAAGCTAAAATGGAAATGAGAACACCATGCAAACAAACTAATTAAACATCTAGTAAAAAAGATGTAACACTGTCAGACGTTAGGCAAACAAAAGTCATTTTTAGATACGAACATTACCGCTATTTAGGGCTGAATTTTCAGCTGGCACAGAGTATTCTATCAGCCTCTATACAAATGCAGCCATGCATTTGTATGCCTAATTTAGGCAGTTAGAAGTACAATTACCACCCTACCTGCAAATTGGAATTAGTTTAAGCTGTCTTGGTGCCTGTATCAGCTGATCCATACACTGACACTGACTTTAAGTATAGAGTCTGACTATAGTGGGAGCTACCCTCTGTTGTTGAAGCAAGTTATTGTATATATAAATACATACATGTATGAAGTAGCGAAAAACAGATGCTTACAAAGAGATGTGAAGCATCCTTTTATTTTTACCCTACGTGGGGAGGCCTAGTGCGGGTACTTTATATTGGCGAAATTAAGCAATTAAAATTCTGATACTTATATTAATATGGGTAAAAAG